AGCACCAGCCCCACCAAGAGAGCAGCTGGGAGAAGAGCTGGTGAGGCTGGGCTGGCTCTGAGCAGCATCCAAGGAAAAACCATCCCAGACTGCCCACCTGCCTGCAGCCTCTGTGCCAGTGCCACGGGCACGGAGGGAGCCAGCAGCCCAGCACGCCGCAAAGCCCATCTCCACCCCAGCCTTCAAGAACCTTCAAGACCACATCTCCTGCCTCGCACGGACAGGATGCATCCCCCCGGCTCTCCCCATTGAGGGAGGGGCACAGTCCCGTCTGTGGGCAGGGGGCTACCACGCGGCTTTTCACCCCGTGCCGCTTCTCCCCAGGGAATGGCATCACTGCCGGCACCGCCCCGGCCCTGGCCATCCCTCCGCAAAGCCTGCGCCGCGCTGGCAGCCGCGCGGAGCCAGTGCCCGGCACACGGCCAGGCAGCGCGCCCGCGGCCACGGCCCATGCCAGCTTGTTTGTTCTCATTAAAGGTTAATGAGAAAGCCACGCTAAAGCCGCCCGAGCCGCGCGGGAGAGGCGTTCCCCCGGTGCCACGCAGAGCCAGGGGACATCCAGGCTTCCCTCACAGAGGGGTGACAGCCGGGCTGTGCCGCTCGCTGCTCGGCCTCTCCGCAGCCCTGCCCGCACTGCCGGGGGATCCCTGTGGGAGCTGACACGCGGGTGAGCTGCCTGGCATGGCACCATCCCGGGCATCACCCCTGGTGAGACCAGCAGGAGCGGGCAGGAGGTGGGGTCAGGCATTCCAAAGGTGGCAGAGGAGGGCATGTGACATCAGCCATTCCCTCTGGGCACCTCGCAGCACCCTGCAAGGCACTCAGCAGGGCTTGGCAGTCCAGGGACACCTTGCCAAGAGAGGGCAGAGGAAGGGCACAAGTGGCGCCAGCAGCACCAGGGCCTGGGTGGTAATTGAGTTAAATGAATCCCTGGCCCTGGCCTGGCGGTGGATTGGGGGAGGATGCAAAGAAGGGGACATCCCCATGGCCACGCAGGGTGCTGGTGACCCCCCAGCTCAGGGGACTTTCCTTGATACTCACCACCCTGGCTCAGCTCAGCCATCCAGGGCAGCTTCCTCCATCCCTCTGCAGCAGCAGGGATGTGGGTGTAATGCTCCAGGTGCACCCTTTTTGGGGGTGTCCCTTTATGCCTTCCTCTTGTGCCAGGCCTGGGGAGCTGCCCTGGGCATCCCCACCCCAACCACAACAGCTGAGCATGCAAACAAAACGCTCCGTGAGCAGCTGTGCTTGGACACATGTGTACAGCCACAGCCAGTCTGTGTGCAGGCAAAGGAAAAATTCAGACACTCCAGGAAGACATTCCCACTTCCCTGCCTGCCTTGGGATACAGGACCAGCTTCCCAGAGACCCCATGTCCTGCTAGCACTGAGTCCTAGGGGACTCAGCTTCTCCGTGCTGGCCCTGGGACCAGCAGCACTGAGGCTGAGCCCGCCCAGCCCTGGAGAAGCCACCAGCCCCAGGATCACACTGCACAGACGGCACCAGCACCATAGGCCAAGTGATGAAGAAACTGTTTCAGGCTGTTCTGGACAAGTACTCCCCAGCCACAGACACCCTTGAGTGCCTGGGAACATGACAGGAGAGGGCACAGGGCAGCTTCAGCGGGTGGCAGAAGTCATGGCTGGCCAAAAAACTTCAGGGAGATGAGTGCCAGCATGTGTCGGCACCAGCCGACAAAGGGGACAAAGAGCTCCTGGCCATGGGGGAGACCTGGGAGCGGGGCAGGAGGTGACAATTCTGGCAAGAACACCCACCATCATGGCTTGAAGGAGAACCACGGTAAGTGACCGAGTGGCTTGTCCTGGGCTGGGACAGCTGGTCCCACAGCTGCAGGTGGTCACCCCCACCACAGCGCTACAGCCGACCCCTCGGGCTTTACTTCTTGCTCAAACTGGAGAAGTCAGCTCCAAAAAATCCCGGGAGCCCAACGCAGAGGTTTTTCCCACAGGGTAGATGCCCCGAGGGCTGGAGAGGAACCAGCCCTCGCGCCGAGCCAGGCTCTACCCACAGCCAGGCTGGCACCAGTGCCGCCGGCAGCACCCCTTGCCGGAGGGGCCGGGCACCCCGCATCCAGGCACCCCGCATCCGGGCATTGGGGTGGTGACAGACTCGAGCCCTCCCCCCTCGCTTCCTCACACGGTCCCCACACGGCAGCAGAAATAGAAGCGATATAAATGGCAGCCCTATAAATAACCCCAAAGCACGCGGCGGGGAGCTCGTCCCAGCCCAGCACTGGCCTCAGCCCACGCAAAGCCAAGGCTTGGGCCGCCTTCGCTGTGCCCCGGGGATCCCAAATGCCAGCTCCCTGCACGCCACGGGTCTGCCAGGGCAGACCCCTTTAGGTCTGTGCCATGGCAGGAGCTCCAATGCACCCGCTGAGCCCAGCCTGATGACATCTCTGGGGGGCATCCCTATGCCCCATCCAGCTCCTCACGCCCAGTGGACAATGCCCACCTCAGGCACCCTGCTGCAACCCAGGCTGTGGATTCCTGGGCAAAGCAGGAGGCCAGGAGCCTCAGGCAAGGTTTGGGAAGAGGTACTCCTGTCCCTACCACTGTGCTCACTGCAGATCAACAGTTCCCCCCTGGTTGCACCCAGCAGCTCTCAGCTGCCCACCCTGATGCCTCTCAACACTGGCCCTGTTCCCACGCTCAAACCCATCATGCCATGTCCTCCATGGGGGCTCAGCCACCACCATGCCAGGGATACCACTGTGCCACCATGGCTGCTCTCCACCCAGGGGGCCACAGGGATGCATCGGGGACCCCCACATGCTGAGAGCAGACAACGCCGCTGGTGACAGACTGGTGACAAGCCCTGCACTGCCGGATTTTGTGCGGCGTCACAGACTCATGTCCCAGCCCTGCCCAGGGGACGCAGTGAGGCCACCAGCCAGGAGACGGGTCCTTGGCCAATATGGGGTTTATAGGATGGCTGGGACTTCCCAGTGCCCTTGAGAGTCTCCTCTGGGAACGTGGCAAGGGCAAAACCCGCCGAGGCTGTTTGCACGCCCTGGGATGGCCGGAGGTGCAGCAGGGAAAGGGTTAATGGTGCGAGGCCTTCCCAAGCACTTCTTGGCAGGCTGGGAAGGGCTGGGAGACAGGAGGATCGGGCCAGCAACAAAGCGAGATCTGTCTCATTAATTCCTCCGAGCATTCCTCCCTCCGTCACCCTGGAGGAGGAGGCAGCACCCAGCTGACATGGTGCACCCAGGTCCCTCCGGAGCCCCCCCGGGTCCCGCCTGGGCGCAGGGGCGGCGTGGGGGGAGATGGGTGCAGCCTCTCCCACGGGATCCATGGCTCTGGCGTCCCGCAGGCGCTCGGGCACGGCCCTATATGGGCACGGGCAGCTTCCCCTCCGCCCGCCGTACCCCTGCCCATACTCCTGCCTGCAGTCCCAGGGGATTCGGGGCAGGACGCGGCTCATATACCACCAGCGTCATCTCAAACCCGGGAGGGAAAGAGCGGCTGGAGGAGCTGATACACCCCGGACCGGGTCTGGGGGGCACTGGGTGACACTGGGGGGGTGCTGGACCCGATATCCCGCTGTCAGTCGGCTCCTTCTCCGGCCACGGCGCCGGCCCTGCCGCGGGGTGCGGAGCTGCCCCCCAGCCCGCAGTGGGGCGGCGGAGCGGATCCCCGTGCCCGTGTCCCCGTGTCCGTGTCCCCCTGCCCGTGTCCCCGTGTCCGTGTGCCCGTGCCCCCTCCCGCCGTGCCCGGACACCCCCTGCCCCGGGGGCGCCCACCGGGGCGGGGGCAGCGGCGGCTCGGGCGGGCGGGCGGTGGCTTTTGCGGCGACGTGGCCCCCCCAAGGGTGTGTAGCCCTGCCCAAAAGCCACCAACCCCGCTCCCCCCGACCCCCCCGCGACCGCGGGGTGCGGAGCTGCGGGTGGCACTCACATGTCCCAGGAGAGGCGGGGGGCGAGGCGCGGGGCGAGAGCGGGCCTGGCTCGGTGCATCCCCTTTGTTCCACTCCCATGGACGGGAGCAAGCGGGGAGTTCGTGCAGGCTCTTGGCAGCGCCCACCCCGGCTCTCTCCATGGAAACGCGGGAGCCATGTGATTTCGGCAGGAAACCACGGCCCAGCCAGCGCCATTGGCGGCTGCATGGCCGGGAGCGCCTCCCTCCCCGAGGAGACCGCAGCCACCACCGCCACCATCGCCACTGACACCACCAACACCGCCCCTGCCACGGCCGCCACGGCCCTGCGGGGGTCCCGGCCCTCCCGGACCACCAGCATCCCCCGAGGGTCCGCCAGCTCCACCAAGAGTCGGAGCAGGATCCCACCTCCCCCGGCGCGAGGGGTGCGGGATCAGCCCGGCTCTCTTGGCCCTGGGCTCTTTGCCCTCCTGCGCGCACACAGTGCCCACAGCCTCCCCCTGCCAGGGCAGCAATGGCTGGAGCCCCCCTCTCCTCCCTCAGCCCCTCTCTCCCTCCACGAGGGCCAGCACAGCCTCCCAAGCTTCAGCGCTCCCTGACAGCCCCCGAGCGTGTTGCACAGCCCGGCAGCGAAGTGATGTGGCCAAGGCTGTGCAGTTAGTCCGTGGCAGAGGGAACACCCAAACATCCTTGGTCCCAGCTCTCCAGTACCCAGCACCTCCCTGCACCTTCTGAGCCTGACTGAGCCGTGCTCAAACCTCTGCTGAGCAGCAAGTCCACCCCAGGAGAGCAGAGTATTGGCGCTGACCCGCATTCCCCATCCCACCAGCCTCCAACCTCCACTGGGAAGGAGCAGGGGAGTGCTCCCAGTGTCCCCAGCTAATGGGACAGGTGGCCCCAGTGCAAATGCAGACTGTCACCCCAGGGATGCCACAGTCACACCGTGCTGCTTCCACAACTGCCAGTGCAGGTCCTAAACCTTGACACCTCTGAGCATCCCTGAAGGCGGAGAGAAGAGGAAGCCACACTTCCCCACCACCGTGCCTGTTGGGGGAATGCCCCCTGCTCCTCTCCTTTCTCCCAAGCCCATCTTTCTCCTACCTGTCCTAGATCCTGTTGAGTCGACCCAGTTTTAAATGGGACTGATGCCTCTGCAGCCCCGGTGAGACATCCTCCACGCAAGGACGAGACAGCACGGTGCTCCCGCCAGCCCTGTGAGGCAGAAACACTAATTAGACCATTGCCAGGTCTCAGAGCTCAGCAGAGTAGGGCAATATCAGTGACAAGGAAATCATTGCACCACTGTCACTCTCCTGGGGCCACACTGAGGAGCAGAGCACTGCTGCTGAGGTTGCTCAGGACAACCAGGGCGTCCCAGCTCCCAGCCCAGTCCTC